AGGTTTCATAAAAATGCATAATTTTGAGCAAAAAGGTGAGAAAATCACATTTTTATCAAAAACTACATCTGGATGATATTCAGTACGATTATCAAAGCATAAATCCAGTAAATCGCTTCCATCAACACCTCCAAAGCTTTCACAGACATATACCACTTCCTGGATCAACATTTTACTCCGTAACATTATGCAGTTTTCATTTATATGCTGTCTGTTTCTGATAATCGCATTATTTTGCATATGCATCTGTTTACATAAGAGATCCCTAGTTTCTCCGTCCTGTTCACGTGTGTTTGTTCGGGAGGTTTTGTACTCGTTCAGATGTGTAATAGTGCCCCGAGTGTATAACGGTGAAAACACGCAAAGCCGTAAAAACTCGTCTTTGGCAGGGAAGCGTTTTCTTGTAAAAGACGAGATAACTCGTCAGTGGCGGGGAAAGAGGTAATATTATATCATATTAATTTTATATTTTCACTAAAAACATAAGAATACAATACAAAATAAAGTAATATTTTAAATATTTTATTTGTTGTTTTTACTTGATTTGCGTAATTGTCCAGCTAAAACATCTAACTGTGTTTATGTAATAACATTGTGTAGCGTAATGAGTCTTGTTTCTGTCTGGTAGTGTATCTGCTCCAGAAATATAGCAGACTAGTGACTCCTAACCCGTCTCTGTGTCTCCGCAGGCCCACGTTCAGGTATTTCACGTGGCACACGTGTGTTCTGGGGATCATGGGCTGTGCCGTGATGATGTTCCTGATCAATGCTATCTACGCTTCGGCCAGCATCGCCTTCATGCTGCTGCTGCTGCTGCTGATCCACTACCTGAGTCCCGTCAGCAGCTGGGGCTGCATCAGCCAGGCGCTCATCTTCCACCAGGTACAGCACTCTACACTTCATTCATGACCCTGCACCACAAAACCAGTCGTAAGGGTCAATTTTTAGAAATTGAGATTTATGCTGCGGTTAATCGTTACATCCCTAATAAGTAATTATTCAATTTTTCATACGTGTGTGAGTGTGTATATATATTTAGTTATTTTGTTGTGTGCTTGTCACACTTTTATTAGTTTTAGGTTTTTATTTAATTATTTAATTTGATAGTTTTTTAATTAATATTTTGAGTTGGCTTAATTTTTATATTTAAATTTTTCTTTTTAATTTTAGTTAAAATTTTTGTAATTTTATGTACTCTTGTGTACTTTTTATTAGTTTTTTTATTAATATTTTGGATCAGCTTTTATTTTTTTACTTTGTTTTCATTTTATTTTATTTTTTTATTTGTTATTAATTTTTAATTTTAGTATAATTTATATACTATTTTATATTTTTATTTTGTTTGTTTATTTTTGAATTGGCTTTTAATTTAATATTTCCATTTTAATTTTAGCTTAATTTTTAGTGATGTACTTTTGATATTTCTATTTGTTTTAGGTATATTAGCATAATAGTTATATGCTATTATAGGTCTATAATTTCATTTTTATTTTAGTTTAATTTTATTCATTTATTTATTTATTTATTCATGCATTCATTCATTTTTATTACTATTTAGGTTTAATTTATTTTTATTTCAGTTTTAGTTTTTTTTATTTCTAGCAAGTAAATTATTAATCCTGTAACCAGCCAAGACATTCTGAAGTTCTTTGACAGACTCGTGTGTGTGTGTGTGTGTGTGTGTGTTTCAGGTGCGTAAATACCTGCTGATGCTGGATGTTCGTAAGGATCACGTGAAGTTCTGGAGGCCGCAGGTGCTGCTGATGGTGTCCAACCCCAGGTGCAGCGTGGGATTGATCGCGTTCATCAACGACATCAAGAAGAGCGGCCTCTATGTGCTGGGACACGTGCAGCTCGGAGACCTCGGTAAAACTCACTCTTTCTGACCATATATTTATTCATTTTATTATTATTTATTTATTTTTTATATTTATTTATTTGATTTATTTTATGAATTTATTTATTTATTTTATTTTTTTGAGATTTTATTAATTTGTTATATATGTCTAGCTATTTTTTCATTTATTTGTTTGCAATTGTTTATTTTTATGTATTTTTATTATTTATTTATTTATGTTTATTTATTTAGTTATGTTTATGTATTTTATTTTTATATTTATTTTATGTATTTGTTTATTTAATTTCATGTATGTTTATTTTAGTTATTTTAATTTTAAACATTTATTTATTCTTGTTCTATTTCTTTTGTATTTATTTCTTTTTTTTTTGTTTAGATTTTATTCACACTCTTTCTGACCATATATTTATTCATTTTATTATTATTTATTTATTTTTTATATTTATTTATTTGATTTATTTTATGAATTTATTTATTTATTTTATTTTTTTGAGATTTTATTAATTTGTTATATATGTCTAGCTATTTTTTCATTTATTTGTTTGCAATTGTTTATTTTTATGTATTTTTATTATTTATTTATTTATGTTTATTTATTTAGTTATATTTATGTGTTTTATTTTTATATTTATTTTATGTATTTGTTTATTTAATTTTATGTGTGTTTATTTATTTAAATTTTTTAATTTTAAACATTTATTTATACTTGTTCTATTTTTTTTAAATCTATTTTTATGCATTTCATTTATTTGTTTGTTCATTTATTTATTTATTTTTATTATATTATAATATATATAACGTATTTTATTTATGTATCTCATTCATTTACTGAAGAAGTTGAAGGAATATTTTGGGTTATTTTCAACCTGACCTCCTGTTGATTAACACAGTGAAATCTTCAGTAATTGACAGCAGGCATTACATGTGGTACATGAATATTAAGCTGAAAATCTCCCTCTATTAATCTGTATGGAGGCACTGACTCTCTGTCTGTGTTTCTCTCCGCAGACGTTCTCCCGTCGGATCCGCTGCAGTCTCAGTATGACTCCTGGTTGTCTCTGGTGGATCATTTGAATATTAAAGCATTTGTTAATCTCACGCTGGCCGACTCTGTTAGACATGGAGTTCAACACCTGCTGTTCATATCAGGACTCGGTGAGCGACAGACACCCGTCACACAAACCTCAGTTCACTTACACCATCCCCAAAACCATACAATTTACCATCAAGTCATCACGGTTACAGCATGTATTGTGGTTATTTTGCCGGAATTCTAGTGAAAAATGGTTGATATATTATTACCCATGTGATAATGCCTGTTTTCAGTAATTTAGTAATAAAAAATGTAATGCAATTTTTTAAAAATGTATTTTTATTTTATTTAGTGAATTAATCACAAATATTGTTTTATTTAAAAATAAAAAGATACAATGCAAACTATTTTTTTATTTAGTGAATTAATCACAAGTATTATTTTATCTAAAAATAAAAAATAATTAAAAATTTATTTTTATATTTTTATTTTATTTAGTGAATTAATCACAAATAATTTATTTAAAAAATATAATGCAAAATATGTTTTATATTTTTTTCATTTTAATTAAATATTCTTTTCTTAATTTGTCTTGTTGTCCAGTTAAAATATTTTTAAGATTTTTTTTACTTTATAAAATGTTATAACGAGAATAATGAGACTTTATTTATTTAGAATTTATATTTTAATTATTATACATTAATTTATTTTTATGTTTTTTTATTCTTATTTGTTTGTTTATTGGTTTATTTATTGTTTTTAGTTTATATTTTATCTATTATATATATTTGTTTATTTATGTTTGATTACATTTACTTTGTATTTTTATTTTTATTATGTATATGTATTTTTACTAATTTGTATATATGTATATATTTTATTCATTTACTTCTTTATATTTATTTCTATTTGTGTTTTATTTATTTTAAAGTATTTTATTTTGTATATTTATTTAATTTAATTTATATTTATATATTTTATTTACTTCTTTGTATTTATTTATATTTATGTTTTATTTATTTTAAAGTATTTTATTTTGTTTATTTAATTTTATTTTGTATATTTATTTTTTTTTAAAATTATTTTTATGTATTTATACTTATATTTTTTTATTTACTTATATTTATTTATGTTCACAGGTGGTATGCGACCCAATACTCTGGTTTTGGGTTTCTATGATGATATCCCGCCTCAGGACCTGCTGCAGGACTCCTCTTTATCGATATGCAAATTCACTGACAACTCGTCTCAAACTGACGACCCTGAAGACCAAAACGACCCGCCCTGCCATTTCCCGCCAGTGCGAGGGGGCGTGTCTGTGGGCAGGGGCGGAGTCTGGGGCGGGAAGTCTATGGGGCCTCAGGAGTATGTGTGCGTCATCGCAGATGCGGTGAAGATGCTGAAGAACGTAGCGTTGGCTCGATATTTCGGTCAGTTCGATCGTACGCAGGCGCTCAAGGGGCCCGTATTCGTCGATGTGTGGCCGGTGAATCTCTTGCGTCCGGACAGCGCCGCGTATGTCGACACATGCTCGCTGTTTTTGCTTCAACTCGCGTGTATTTTGAACATGACGAGGGCGTGGCAGAAAGCTAAGCTCCGCCTCTTTTTATGCGTGGAGGAGGGGCGGAGCCTTAAAGGGACGGAACAGAAACTCAAACATCTTTTGAAAGAACTGCGAATGAAGGCGGAAATCTGCACGGTTCCCTGGGATTCGCAAGTCGCGCTTCATTGGCAACGGCAGACGCGATCGGAAAAAATCGAAGAGATGGAAAGCGAAGAGGGCGGAGTCGAAGCCGATAAAGTGTTCGCGAACAGTTTCCCTAGCAACACCTCGCGAGTGTCGGACGAATATTTACAAGCGGTTAACAAACTCATCCTGGACCAGACGCTCCACCCACCCGCCGTCCGCTTCCTGTATTTGCCCCGCCCCCCCGCCGACACCAACCGTTACCATGACTACCTGAATCAGCTAGAGCTGCTCACGCGTAACCTGGGTCCGACCCTTCTGATTCACGGGGTCACGCCAGTCATCACCACTGACCTTTGACCTTTCCTCATCATGTGTACGTTAAATTCCGAAAAGAGGAATTTAAATGAAAAAAAGATACGAAACGCGTTCGGTTTATTGTTTTTCACTTTTTCTGAGCACTTCACATGTTTACTTCGGAAGAGAGAGAAAATTTACACAAGATGTTACGGATCACGAGAAAACGTTCACCCGTTCCACTCATTCCATTCCGGTTCTTCCGTCTCTACTTGCCCTTTTCTTTTCTCGGATTGTAACAATGTAACAAGTGGAATTCCTGGAATTCCAGAATGTTGCCACTCGGCAACTGAATATTTTTCCCGACTATAATGTTTTACGATGTTTTTAGCCACTCCAGAAGTATTTTGAATTTCCACAGCAAAAGAGCAAAGATTTGTGAGTGTGTTTGTTTACTTGATGCAATAATAATAATGTTTTTTTACGGCCAAGATGGATCTCTTGCTTTCAGCGGTACCACTGAGGTTTACCGTTTTATTCACACCAAACCAAAGTGCTTTGTGTGTGTCACATGTGCCTTTTTTTGTTACAAAACTGAACAAAAACACACACGCGCGACTAACAAACAGTACGACAGTATACCTCCAAGCGCGTGTACGAAATCACTCTCCATTCTGTGTTTGTATCGTTTTTAATATGCAATCATTTTAAGCACTGCCAAATTTAAGTATATCAAAAAATGAAATTGTTTAATAATTGAATAAAAATAAATAATGTTTGCTTACTGACTGTTGTTTATTTGGATTGAATGTAGTTCTATTCATTTTGCAAATATTCATTACAATAATTAACTTTTTTTTTACTCTGTTTTACGTTATTTGGACACATTACTGATACGGTTTATTATTTGTGTAAATTCTCACAAACAATTTTTTGGTTACATTTCACTCCAAAGACATCTGATGCTTTACTTTTGAGATTTTACTATTTTTCACTATTCACACTTTTGATTCTCGTTGCTGTAATAAATAATTGTTTTGCAGATGTTTTGCTGTAAAAATATGCTACAATACAATGTTTTTTTCTTTATTCATATCACAAATTGAAGGTAGTATAACAAATGCCACTTATGTATGAATATATCACTATATATTATTTTTTAAATTATAGTAATGAGAATATAAGTGGAAAATTGCTTGTTTATAATAAAAATTGTCATGATGATTCTAAAAATAATTTCATAATTATTTTATTTGATTTTAATTTTAGTTTTAGTAATTTTATGTGCTTTTGTCATTATTATTTTTTGCTTTTTTAAAATGTCTATCTAGTTTTTATTAGTTTTATTTCAGTTGTAGTTATTTTGGTGCTTTATTTAAACTAAAAGTATAGAATGAAAATTTATAAATGTTGCCTTGGCTACTAGCTAAAATAAAATATTTAACTTTTTATATTTTAATTGATTTCAGATGAAGTTTATTTTATTTCAAGTCGTTTGTTTTTTAGTTTTAGTTAACCTGATGTGAATGCGTCTCGCTCCGTTTTTGCAGGCTTGTTTATTGGAGACATCTGAATGCGAGACATTGGACTGAAGTATAAAACGGCAGGTCTTTGACTGAGCGTGAGAACGGGGTGAGGGGGGTGGAGGAGATAAACCTGTTAGCTGAAGGACTCTTCTCTGAGCTAAATGAGGTCGAGTGCTTATTTGGACGGCGTCCATGAACTGAAATGATCGAATGCGCTGACATCACATCACATCCACTCCTGCAGCAGCGGCCCTTTGGGTCAGGGCATCTTTATTGCCATGGCGATGGAAGCGGTTGTCATGGTGCTGCGGGTGCCGGGAGACCCTTCGTAGTGCTGTGATGCCATTTGCTGCGAGCACAAACACACACACACACAACACACACACAGACACACACACACATACACACATACTCGCACAGGTGTTGAGTGCCTCACAGGAGTTCACTGTCAAACACACAAACACACTCGACATGAGCTGCTGTTCTGCGGCTCTCAGTGTTTGTGCTGCTCTCCTTCAAGGAAACCACACTAGAGATGATATTTTCAATTGAATGCAGTGACATTTTACAGACTTTTAAGTGTCCAAATAGTTTTTGAGGCCACTGTGTGATACAGATAGATAGATGGATAGATGGGTGGATAGATAGATAGATAGATAGATAGATAGACAGACAGACAGACAGATAGATAGATAGATAGATAGACAGACAGATAGATAGATAGATGATAGATATGTTATTATTTAATATAAAATTATTGTCTCAAATTATTTTATTGTAATGTAACAACGAAATGATTCAATTAATTATATATTTACCCATTTTTATATATATAAATAATATGATACTATAATTAGCTATATGTACGTCTCTCGCTCTCTCTGTGTGTGTGTGTGTGTGAGTATATGCATAAGTAATTTGCATAACAGCATATTGCAATGTATAAATTCGAATTTTAGAATGGATATTATTTCATAATATAATTTAATATTAAGTTTTGTATTATTATTATTAAATATTATTTGTTAACAATTAAATATTTCATGATAGCCAACAAATTTCTATATTTCTATAAAATTAATTTAGATAAAGTTTAGATATAATTTTGTTCTACTACTACTAATATATATGTGTGTGTGTGTGTGTATATATATATATATAATTTGCTGTAACATATACATATATTATTGCTTTGCTTTACAGTATAGGTTTCAGTTTTATAATGGATATTATTCAATATTAAATTATAATGTTACAATACATCTTAAATACATCTTCAACAGTATCTATATTTATCTTGTTTTTTACACAAAATAATTTAGTACTACAATTAGTTATATACATATTTTGTGTGTGTGTGTGTGTGTGTGTGTGTAATTATATGTGAAACTACATTATTATATTAAAATCCTTTAAATTTTTAAGACTTTCCTCTCTTGTGAGTTCATCATAGTGTATGTCCTGTCGTTTCTCTCTCTCTCTCTCACACACACACACATGCAGAGCTGTATAGAGTGTGTCAGTGGTCATAACATAATGAGCTACAGTCATCTTCTGTAATTACCTGTGAGGAAACAACAAAAGTTCTGGCAGTATTTTTTTCTTTCGACCCATTATCACAGTTTTCTCCTCCGCCTGCGTCCGCTCACCCTTGTTTCTCCTTTATTTCTCTCTCTCTGCTAATGTTCTGGCAGAGATAAGTCGAGCTCTGCTCTTCCGTGTCTTTGGTCTGATAAGATTTCACACACTGCTCTTAAAATGAAAGACCTTCATCTTCAGCGGTTTTCCTGGAGGTCAAACTCACATGTTCAGGCATTAGTGTGACTTAAAGTTTAAAACCAAGTTAATATCAGTCTGTGTGTGTGTGTGTGTGTGTGTGTGTGTGAGTGAGTGAGTGTGTGTGCTGGTCTGATGTTGTTCTTTATTGTACAGTAGTTGTGTAAAGGCTCAATCATAAACGTACCATCTTTGTAAACAGTCACAGAGGAAAAACTGACCATCATACACTAAACAACTGAACATACACTAAACAACTAAACTGACCATCATACACTAAACAACACACACACACAGACTGCCACACAATGGCAGACTTTAAAGATCCGATCACAACAAACTCATGCAGAATCGCAGAGAAGCTTGACAAATGAAAACAATGTGTTCTAAAATATCAAACACGTTTGATCTCCTCTGACTGGATGGAATCAGAGATTTGACTTCTCTAGACTGTAAACTGGCGGAAAATCGGGGCAAAAGTCATGGTCTGGTTTGTTTTATTTATTTTTAAAGCTGAAGTAAAACATGAATGAGTGTGAAAACTACCGTAGTTACACAAGATCGGTTTCTGAACAATATCAGCTCTGTCTTATGTCTGTCATTGTGTCTATTTTTTGGATCATTCTTTCATTCTGTTATTCTTGCTGTAGTTTTGTCTGTCTTTTTTGTCATTCTAGCTATCATTCTGTCTGTTATTCTGTCTGTCATCCTATCTATTGTCTGGTCTGTAGTTCTATTGTACTGTCTAAAGTTCTATCGCTCTGGATGTCATTCTGTCTACAGTTCTGTCTCTGACAGAACGATAGATTGAACATCAGAGCAACAGACAGAACAGTAGAACACCTGTCGTTCTATCACTCACTGTCGTTCTATCATTCTGTCTGTCGTTCTATCACTCACTGTCGTTCTATCATTGTCTGTCGTTCTATCATTCTGTCTGTCGTTCTATCATTCTGTCTGTCATTCTATCATTCCGTCTGTGGTTCTATCATTCCGTATGTCGTTCTATCATTCCGTCTGTCGTTCTGTCATTCCATCTGTTGTTCTATCATTCTGTCTGTCACTCTATCTACCGTTCTGTCTGTCGTTCTATTATTCTGTCTGTCATTCTATCTTTCCGTCTGTCGTTCTATCATTCTGCCTGTTGTTCTATCATTCTGTCTGTCGTTCTATCATTCCGTCTGTCCTTCTATCATTCCGTCTGTCGTTCTATCATTCCGTCTGTCGTTCTATCATTCCGTCTGTCCTTCTATCATTCCGTCTGTCGTTCTATCATTCCGTCTGTCGTTCTATCATTCCGTCTGTCGTTCTATCATTCCGTCTGTCGTTCTATCATTCCGTCTGTCGTTCTATCATTCCGTCTGTCGTTCTATCATTCCGTCTGTCGTTCTATCATTCCGTCTGTCGTTCTATCATTCCGTCTGTCGTTCTATCATTCCGTCTGTCCTTCTATCATTCCGTCTGTCATTCTATCATTCTGTCTGTTGCTCTATCTATCTACCGTTCTGTCTGCTGTTCTATCATTCCGTCTGTCATTCTATCATTCTGTCTGTCGTTCTATCTATCCGTCTGTCCTTCTATCATTCTGTCTGTCGTTCTATCATTCAATCTGTCGTTCTATCATTCTGTCTGTTGCTCTATCTACCGTTCTGTCTGCTGTTCTATCATTCCATCTGTCGTTCTATCATTCCATCTGTCGTTCTATCATTCTGTCTGTTGCTCTATCTACCGTTCTGTCTGCTGTTCTATCATTCCATCTGTCGTTCTATCATTCCATCTGTCGTTCTATCATTCTGTCTGTTGCTCTATCTACCGTTCTGTCTGTCGTTCTATTATTCTGTCTGTCGTTCTATCATTCTGTCTGTCGTTCTATCTACCGTTCTGTCTGTCATTCTATCATTCTGTGTGTCGTTCTAGCATTCCGTCTGTCGTTCTATCATTCCGTCTGTTGTTCTGTCATACCGTCTATTGTTCTATCATTCTGTTTGTCACTCTATCTACCGTTCTGTCTGTCGTTCTATTATTCTGTCTGTCATTCTGTCTGTCGTTCTATCATTCCGTCTGTCGTTCTATCTACTGTTCTTTCTGTCGTTCTATTTTCTGTTCTGCTACTCGCTCTGACATTCTATCTATCTATCTATCTATCTATCTATCTATCATCTCTTATTCTAAAAACGACCAATTTTTCATTGATGCACAGACCAGAAAACCTCTCTTTCTCTTTCTCCTGCTTTATGTCTCTTATTTGTGTGGTTTTCTCTCTGTTCTCTCGTTCTGTTTTCTCTCTTTGTGTCGGTAAAGCACTAAAGTCTTTTTCAGCCCCCCCTCATATTTCTACCCCCTCTTTTTTCTCTTTCTTTCTCTCTCTCTCCCCCCGTCTTTCTGTCTGTCTCTCTCAGTAATTACTGTCGCTCTCTGATAGGACTGTTTTTCTCAGGTGAGCGCGCCCAGTTCTCATCGCCGTGGGA